CCGTCCAGATCCCAACTTGAGGCTCTGGGTGCGTATTTTTGGCTCGACTCTATTCTCGGACAAAATCCAGCGTCCTCAACATAAGAAAGAGGAAGGCACCAGACTAGAGACCTCGGAGAGTACAGTGTGGTTCCATTTTTCTGGCAAGCCTCGTGCATCACAAGCCAACGGCGTGCCCATGGAACGTGTACGCCGCGAAGTCCCAAGCGCTCTTCTCTTCGTGAATAACCCTGCATTCATGCAAGGCTTCACCGATTGGTCAAATATCTGTACCAATCTGCACAAGATCCTTTGTCCTCTTTGGACAAAAAGATCTTCGCAGTTTCACCCGCTTTCTCGTCTCGCCGAGATTTTACAACATCACGAGCAGGCGACTTCGATGGTCTACATGCGTTGTGTAACATGACCAGTCGACATTGAGCTCCTGGTGAGTCACTTGTACATGATCATCTCGAGGATGATAAGAAGATATACCAGCCGCTGCCGCAGGGACCCCCATGATCAGACACAAGCAGTGTCAGCGTTCATATGCTCACGTCGACATGTGCTCTCTCATACCGTCTCCCTTCTGCACAGAAGTACGCCTTCAGGTTGACGGGTTGAGAAATGCTCACACCACAACGCCTATGTAACGCGAATTCTGCCGTCCAGACAGGAGCCGACTTAGAATACCATCAAACTCACCAAATGAATGATGTAACTGTCAGCTCTTCTCGCTATATTACCGCCGACCTCAGTCAAGTTACTCACACAGGAATTGCATCGACGGCGGCTTCGACGACCGTGAGCAGGCGTTGCGATGCATTGAGCACGTACCATCCGTGAGACCGGTCTCGGAAACCGCAATTGAACCCCAAGATCTGGACGCGAATGCAGGGCTGCCATTACAAACACCCGATTGTCGGCCCCCAAAATGGTGGAACTGCAGTCTGTGACGGGTTCCGCGAGCCCATCCCAATCTGCGTGTCAACCGTGACTTTGCGGTCGGTATCCTGCCAAGCCATCTCGGATAAACCTGGCTCCCCGTTGCAATGCGATTTCTGATTGTGAGCCTCGCGTATCCTGTGTCAAACTCAAAGTTGAATTGAACTGACTATGAAACATGAACAGCTTTCACCTCGTGTCGTATTGAAATGTCAGCTGCTCAACGAAGTCCCTTGACTCCCTTTTGGGGATGAATGCGGGCTACTTACTATGTCGTCGAGTAAATGGAGGCTACATATGAATGCCGTGGTAAGGATAAACATCGCTAGGCTGAGACCATATCCCTGTGTCCGGCGAAAACATGGAGATACACAACATGACAAGGCGCAGACGCGGATTTAAGCCGCAAATTCCCCCACATGGTCCATCTTCCAAGTACATTCCACACCTTTCGTGATCCATCCGCGGTGTCAGGTATAGTACATCCCACCGACATCTCATAGATGCGCCCTCGATCGGCGAACTAGGACGACTTCCAATCTGGGCCACGCTGGAAACTTCGGAAGAACTTCTCTCCCCCTATAGCTCCCGGCTCCGTTCAAAGACGCCCAGTTACGCCCGCCCGCGATGTGACAGTACATAGTGACCCTGCACCTTCTGCTACTTCTTAGTCGCGCCGGCGTCGCGCCCGGAGGAGGCGAGTCTCCTGCACGAGGGAGAAACAATGGCCTCGCCAGTGCTATCTCACGCATTGATTCGTCCTACCTCTAGAAGCATCCACCACACTCCTGCGCGCCAACACGGCAGCGAGACTGAATGCTAGAGGTCCTCTAGATGTCGCCTGTATGGATCTAGGCCTGCTGCGCCCGATTCTCCGCGCAAGATGAGAAGATACTCCGCCTACGCCGCTACGCTATGTTCGGAGACCGCTGTCGCGGAGTTGGAGTGAGCGGAGTGCTTTTCCGCGTCTTTCTACTTGGCACGTTCACCACGTTAACCGCCGGCGTAGTCCAGCAAGTGGAGTCCTCGTGTAACCGATGGTCAGACTCCTGCGCTCAAGGGACCTCTCTAGATGCACGGCGCCCCGTTTGCAGCACTTTTAAGTAGGGCTGTCCTGAACTTGGTCAATATCGCCGACTACATTGGCACATGGTGTCCATGAAATGCTTTGCACATCTTTCGTCATTCCAAGCCGGATCACGCATCTTTGACGGAGCTCGTCATCATTCCCCATACCCCACATCACGTGCGCTCAGGTGTTATGTCAAAGTGTGGTAGCGTTTTCCAATGTCCAATGGAACTTGCGCGCTGCCAAAAGCTTGTTTCAGCGCCGCACAGATGATCCCGGGCGCTCAGGAGGACAGGACCGTCCTCCGTATGGAGGAAGGACGAGGCTGTGTTGGGTTGTATCTTGTCCGAGTTGGTCGGCATTCTGGGTAGGCGCCTGTGAGTCCATGGTCAGGGGTACCTGTATTGACGCGCTGCGGCATCCCTTGTTGGTAGGGAATACAGGATGGAACAGTCGCTATTGTCGGCATTTGACCACTCTATGCGGCAGGGGGGATGAACGGAGATAATACGCGCGTTTCTCAGCGGAGTCCATTCCGTTTGGTGAGCTAGCCCGCTGTGCTTGATCTATCATTTATGCACTGACGCCGTGCTTGTGCGTAATGCAGTGTACTTGCGCGACTGCTGCTGTCAGCTTGCCGTTTCCAAGTCGCGCCTATTTCTCTTTTCAGAAGGCTTAACGCTGTCTAGCTCTCTAATGTCGCCGCGGGCGACAACCCCCGTGAGGTCTTAAGACTCGGGTGGCATTTTCCTTACGTGTTTCTCAAGAGCCCGCCTTCGGTCCAATCCACCGACTCGTAGTAATGATCCGACTCAGCTCCCGGACCCCAGTCTCGAGCGTCTTGTGCTCCAGTTTACGTGCACAGCGTTTTAGTTCTGCAGCGTATATAAGGGGACACGCAGTCGCCTTCAAAGCACAACACCTCACCATATCGCAACTCTACTCAACCAATACTGCACCTCAACCCACAATGACCGCCAACATCGTCCTCCCTAACCTCACCAACTGGGCCGAGCAGCACCTCCAGTCCATCTGGAACGCGACGAGCCAGTCTGACTTTGACTCGGCGTTCAACAACTTCGTCGCAGAGAACGCCAAGATCACTGTGAACGGCAATCACGTCTCGCGAGACCAATACAAGCAGCGCCTTCTGGGCGAGAACCCCATCGAGGCGAAGGTTCAGCTCACTTTCAACGGTGCAGTTGAGGTACCGAAGAACCAGGATGGGTCGAACGATGTTCGTATCTCGCGAGTTCTGAATATACAGTCACCAACACTGACTCGGTAACTAGTCCGGCACTGTTGGCCTTTTCTACACTGCCGAAGTCCCTGGCAGATTCTTTGTTTTTGGTGCTCGGCAGACCAGCGCCCTGAACTCTTCGCTCAACCTTGTGTAAGTCTATGAAGCGAGCTTAATATGTAACCTAGATCACTGACAACCTGGTGCAGCATTCAGCAGGACCAGTCGATCAAGCGTCCCACCACGATCGGAAAGGGCGGCGACTTTGACCCTCGCAGGGTCTTTGTGCTGAACGAGGTCGCTCTGGAGCAGGCTAACCCGATCGTGCCGCCGACCGCTTCCGGTAACTGAAGCGCTGAGCATCAGGAGGAAGAACAGGCCATCCATTACCTGCCCGCACCATCTCCTAATGCTTTCTTGATGTCATGTAATCATATGTCCCTGTACCATAGCGCAATCCGAATGTCATGATTTGTCTCGCTTGCCATAAGTCGAGTTGGATGTAGCACCTTACAATTGCTCGTAATTCACGTGATTGTGAGCGTGTCACTGTAAGTGGCAGGATGTGGCGGAACGGTGGCGGGAGGCAGTCAGATGTTCAGGCGACTGCGGCGGCAGAGCCGTCACCTGGCCCCTTTATGCACGGAAGGGTCTAATCGAGGCTCCTGAATTGGCACCAGAAGCTCAGGATTGTTATTGCGGGTGCTTCCGTACCTTCTTGCGTGATCCCCTATATATACCGTCCTAGGACCGACCGCACTCCTGGACCACACCTCTCACAGGCTCGACCTGAACGCGACGCTCGCATCTCCTTAGCTTCAAAGTATCCGTAGACGATCTAGACATGTCTGAGGGATCTGCGACGTCGATTGAAATTAACGACGCCCTCTTCTGCACCCACTTCAAGGAAGTGGTATGTCGGTTTGCCCTATTGTGCGCCTACCGCGCAATACTCACGCACTTCATCTCAGTGCACGACCTGCAGCTTTGACGGGCGGGAGGAGAACGACGCGTTCTTCGGCGTAAGTGTATCGCGATGTCGAACAAGCATGCGCCTAATTGTACTGGACAGTTTGACCCTATTGATCGCGAGGGACTTGAGGCCCCTGCATCCAGCACGAACAAGGAAGGAGTCTATCAGTGCAAGAAGCACGGGTCGGCCTGTATGTCTCCGAAATCAAAGAGTTGTCCATGAGCTCATGGTGCTGCAGCTTGTACCCAATGTTACGGCTGGAAGAAGCAGATCACACGAGCCCGCACCGCGGCGAAGAAGGCCGGAAAGAAGTCATCCTAAGCGGGTAGACCGTTGCAGGGGATCGTCTCGACGACTTACTAAATACATCGCGTGTACAATAAGAGGTCGAACAGCATGTACTATGTATCAACGTCACCGTATATCGAGGAAGCCTGCACGATGTTGGAGTGAGCTTTTGAGCAAGGAGCAGATGAGTTGGCACAGTGGTGATGCGCACTCTTACGATTTGACGAAGTTCGCCACGCTACCACTGTGCCACGCGCGAGCGCATGTAGCACAGTGGTACCATTTTCCGCGAAGCGGGTGGGGCATCCCGGGCCCTCGGACGGGTCTATCGATATGAGTTTGGCTGTTTTGGGTTGAAGGTTCGACACGTGAGATCGCGGAATACGTTTTCTGCCAAACTTGGAAGTCTTCCCAGTCGCGAGCACCTGTAGAAAGTTCACAAAAAATTACTTTACTTAGAAGAGTTGCTTGTACAGGACAGCAAGTCATCTGCCGTGGATGTAAAATGGACACTCAGGGGATTGAACCCTGGACCTCACGCAAATTACGTAATTGTCGTGCGAAGCGTGCGCGCTACCACTGTGCCAAGTGCCCGTACATTCGATTTTGTTCAGTCATCTGTATTGTTAGGGTCATATAATATCCTAGCTCGCCGAATCATCTCATTTCGCCCCAAGCCTGAAGCGGAGCACAGTACGACTATGGTGAATTGCGATATCTCATGGGATAGGCACGGAAGGCATGCACAGACCACCGAAATGGCAGCGAGAATATGAGCGAGATGAGCACCAGACTCTGCCAGTGAGCATCGTGCCCTCTGATACTTCTATTCACAATGTTTCGTCCGTTTGTTGGTAGGCATCGCAGCATAGCTTCCATCATGCCTGTTATGGAACTACGAGAGAAGAAATCCACAGCCAAGCACCTTATGTAAATACACGAACGGAGGGTGCGATCAAAATACACCACCTAGTCGTGTGAGACATGGGAATAGCCGGAAAAGTGCAGGCATAACACTTCACTCGACATATCCATACATGCCATCAGTTCCTGAAGACACCATGATATAACCTCCGCACGTGGCGATAGCAGAAGGTTAAAACTCCACCTGAGCCTCCACAAAGGGAGATGCAAATTGCAATACCATTCTAAATACGCGGTAGGAGCATTAATGCCTGAAAATACAATCACTTTGTAATATAGGCACATGTAGCTAACAACATGACAAACAGAGTCACTGGGCCTTACAAAGAGAGTTGACGAGAATAGCACTAGGTCGCCGGAGCATAGGATGGAGCCCGTACAATTCAGCAGGATGATAACGGCGAACAATTAGGAAGCCTTGATGTAAGCAAAGAATGTATGATCCGGTCGGTCAAAGTCGCCGTAGTTATCTCGTTACGAGAAACGATTATACACGAATCGACGTAAAATTACACCTTGGCCATCCACGATGAGTGATTACAGGCTGAAAGTGCGACCGTTCACCGTGCTGTCAGGCTGTCGTTTTGTCCCTTCTAAGGAAAACTTGCAGTGGTGTGGTGGCATATAATTCTGGCGGCCGTCTACGGCGCGCACTGCATTCCGTAGGCATCCGTAACATGATTCCGAGTCTCCTGCTCACCGCAACTGACAGCGACGGCGCAATGGATCGAGGATCGAGCGCAGAGGAAGTCCAGATGCTTTCGTGCTGGCGGCCGTGTCCATCAATAGCGAAGAGGTATCAAAAAAGCGAGAGGTCCTTGGTCCGGAGAAATCGCGGCGGACAAGAAACCCTTGCAGGATGACAGGGCGGTCCGTAATCAGGCATCTTCGATTCAACGTCCGCGACGCTGCATCACCGTCGGAAGCTAGCGATAAGAGGCACTGAGCGCCTAGCTGTGGACAGCGGACGGAGCCAAGGCACCGGGCCGGACTCGGTGACGGACGGAGTGCATCAGCATACGAAAAGCGCACGGCTTACGCAGGAACAACGCTGCACCGCGATGATAACGGCAAGAAATCGAGCGGCAGCATTGTTGGCGATGGAGGCACGACGATGACGCTGGTTTCCTCCCGTCCCGGGCCGATAATCACCTATCGATATGTCGTAGGTTGGTCAAGAGGTCAGTCGTAGTGCGAGATGTGGGGCTTTGGAGTGAGCCGGAGAATCTAGTGGTGCGAGGTAAACGCCAGGGTAGCACAGAGGTCTGTCAACGAACGAGGGCTGTCCTGAGGTCTGCGAACGAGAACGGGGCTTGGGTATTCTTGGACTCGTCTTGTGGAGCGCTCACTTGGAGGGCGCATAACTGCAGCGCCACAAGGGAGCACAACATCGCAGGGCATCCACGCTGGCACCAGGATCGCATGGGCATGAGAGTCGGAATGACGCAGTTATGGAGAGAGCGATAACATGCGAGCACTTTAGGCAGGGACAGGGTGAGAAGACTTGAAGCATACGGGAGGTAATGACATTGGCATACGTAGCAGATCAAAGGTTCTTGATTGTGAAGTCGGCCCTCTTTGCTGCATAACGGCCTCAGTGAACATAGAAAGTAATATGATCGCCTAGGCTGTATCAAATTGTGCGGAGACGATCCTCTCGACAGCAGGGCCTGGCAGAGAAGTCAGACCGGTAGACTACTGTTAAACAAGCTCGCTATGACAGAGAACCATAGAAAGATACGATATATCCAGGCCACTCCTGAGATGCCGAGCGTCATCAGTGGCACACAAACACGAAGGACTGCGGAGGGCGCACGAGGAGTCATACGCGACCTCATGAGCCACTTTCGTATGAAAAGCATATTCCTGATACGGCCAACCCCTCGCGCCCCAAGCTAGTCAGAGCAGCAAGTTTATTCCCCAGTACTTGTAGAAAGCACCATGAACGTCAAAGTATTGCCACGGTATGCGACTAAAATTGTGGGATGAGCATGGCTCACTGAACACCAAAACTTGTAGTGCAGACCGCAGCACAGTCACACTACGAATAACCCGGGCGCCACGAGCCGGATGGAAACTGGAACCGTGGGTAGTGATGTGCAGACGTGGGTGCAGGAGGACAAAAGCGGCTCGCGGTCGCAGTGCCCGCCGGACATTGCGCAGTCCGAATCCACGGGAAAACACCAATGCACGCACGCCATCCATATCACAGAGAAGCGCGTACGTGATCAGGAACGATGGGCTTGTGGCAACGCGCTGCCGGAGGAGTTATTTCCAGCACCCCAGCACAGAGGTCGTCCTTCGCGGGCGGCCGATAGGCGTGTGGCGTGGCGACCCTTTCGCGACAGGCCTAGGTGCAAACGTGCTGGCCAGGGGGATTGTCGTCGCCGAGACAAGTAATATGAGGTCATTCAACATCGGGCGATAGAGGGCAGTAAGTGCGGGCTAGACCAGAAGAGGTGGAAGAGAGGTAATTGCAAAAGCGGAAAGGCGCACTTATCGGAGACGGGCATAGCATCGGGATGCCTACTCCTGACGGTGCTGTCGTTGTCTCCGTGCGATATCGAATAATCAGGGGTAACGATTTTCCGCGTAGAACATGTGCAGATAGGCAGCGTTGGTAGCATGGAATTTCCAACGGCAGGTTCCGCGAGAATCCAGCGAGATTGACTCGGTGAGATGCACGGCCACGGCAATGATTTGAGGACAAGAGATCTCCAGATTTTTTGTGATCAACGGCTGGTGAGATGTACTGAATGCATTGCATGAAATGGAACCACTCTATGCACAGTCATAGGATGGGGGTCCTGAGAGGGGGTCGTCGTCTTTCTGTGGGTAGTGGGTGTGGGTAGTAGGGAAACAAGGCAGGTTATGCCGAATGGTGAATTGAGTGAGAACGCAAACGTGTTTTCGAATGAGGAAGCCGAGGGAACATTGGGCAGACATGTGGGCGTCTGGAGAGCTCCAGATCCATCCGGATATCAAGGCAATTGAAGATAGGTCGAGCATGCTTGCCATTCTAAGCAGGTCATGATAGATCTATCGGATACCGGGCAACGGAGTTCGTTTTCGGCAAGGTTCGTGTGAGAGCCAGGCCGGGGGGACAAGTCAGGGTATGGGTAGAGAACATGCTTGTGCCAAGAACCTGGAAAAGTTGGAAATGGCAATTCATTCGCTTTCAACTTTCGCCGGGGAACTCTTGGGGTTCAAAGTGTATTGGCAGAACCCAAGTGAATGAAGGCTCTCCCAGTGTCAGTGTCCGGGGAATTAGGGCATTCAGGGAGCAAGTCAAGTGTCAGTACTGGCGGCCACACGTGATAGCTGATATGTAGAATTGCCAAAATGACTGTGGCTTGCCATTCAGTATATCTGGCCTGCTTCACGGGAGTAGCATGCACTTATGGTCCAGCAACAGTATCTCGTGAACACACTAGTTCCGGAATCGCGAGCTTGCGATCACTCGTAATTTCTGCGCATTGCCGGCATATCTGGTCAAAATTCACCAGAAAGTAGCGAAAAGGGCGATGGGGCGCCGCGGAGGATTATCGGTGGGCTGACGCAAGGCTGATGGGAAAAGAAAGGAAGACGACAAGGATAGGTGTGAGGGTCCCGAAGACGGAGAGAAGATGGCGACCTGCAGAAATCTCGGATATTTACAATCTTGAAACTCCGCGTGGTTCAGCGCTAATTGAACTTACGCGTCCCCTCCGCTCTTCTTCAACTATTTACACTCAACGTCCAAAGATTATATACACCCCATTCTCACCCTCCCGTTCTACCTTCGCCTTCAAGCCTCAAATTTGATCATACCAGCCATGCCCGACGGCTCCTTTTCAAACCCTCAGCAGAGGCAGTTCAACCCGTACTCGGACAACGGCGGCACAATCCTCGCCATTGCCGGTGCGGATTTCACCGTCATTGCGGGTGATACGAGGCAGAGTGAGGGTTACAGTATCCAGACACGATACGCACCCAAAGTGTTCAGACTGTAAGCTTGTCTTGCCGGCGTGCGCATTGGAATGTGCACTGCTGATTCAACGCCACAGCACCGACCGCGCCGTCCTTGCGGTGAATGGTTTCGCTGCAGATGGTAACATGTTCGTGAAGAAGGTCAAGCAACGTCTCGAGGTGCGCTCTGACGCGTCTGGGTCGGAGTTGGTTTTGACCAGACCCACAGTGGTATCGTCATGCGCATGCCAAAGACATGCCCCTTCGTGCGATTGCGCGCCTGATTCAGACTATGCTCTACGCCCAGCGATTCTTCCCATACTACGTATACAACATTCTCGGAGGCATCGAGGAAGATGGTATGTTCTCGCTTCATTCAAGCTTCTTGCACATCACTAACCCCACGCTCAGGCTCCGGCGCGGTATATTCCTTCGACCCTGTTGGGTCGTACGAGCGCGAAGCGTGTCGCGCGGCTGGCGCCGCACAATCATTGGTGCAGCCCTTCCTGGACAACCAGGTATGATGCTATCTGTGGACGTTCTCCCGACGTCTCTTGCGTGATCCGACCGTCGCCCGACTTACACCCGTTTGCTCGTGACACAGATTTACTTCAAGAATCAGGCCGCGGCGCCGAATCAGCCGCATCCGGCCCACCTGCCATTGTCAGACGTCCTCGCGATCGTCATCGATTCTTTCACGAGCGCGACGGAGCGCCACATCG